GTTTAAGATTCATGGCTGGATGCAAAAGAAAGAGATAGTCCAGAAATGCAATCTAGAGAACTGCTAGAAATATGACAGAGCACCAATCTTTTCTTTGTAAAGTGATAAGCCATGATCTTTTTATGACTCTGTTAAGACTGATGATGTAATTCTTTCCCTATATAGCTCATGAAGGAAACCAGGGAGTCCTAAGTGGTGCTTTGCTTTTCTTAGGAAGTTAAGTGTCTTGCCAGTTTCTCTTACAGTGTTTATGGTAAGACCATTTTGTTTTAAAATTCAATTTATAAAGAAATACTTGTGTTGGGCTTAAGTATGCATGGCTTTAGCATTCATTTTACTTGAATACATGAGCCTTTGTGACTACGTGGGTTTTCCAGGAAGATAATAGCAATGAGCTAAATTTCAAGAACCGAAGATCCTAACTCTGAATAATTGCACCTCTAATTTTGGGTTGGTCTTTCCAGCAATGCAAATCTTAATGCAAACGTGAATGTCTAAGGTTCAAAAGCCATTATCTCAAACAAGAATGTTAGATATGAGCCAATGGAGACAAAGAACAAAATTACATTCACAATTAGCCAACAATAAATTCCTTCCCATTTCACTCAGACCCTGAAATACAGCAACATATTTGTGAGAAAGACAAAATGCCACCTACCTTGCTTCAAGCTCCCAGAAAGTGGTGTCATCGGACAGCCATGGGTTAGAAGGATCAGGTGGCAAGAGAAACGGGTCGTATTCTAAATACTGTTCCGTGTAACCTAGTAGACTAGGGAGAAAAACCATTTCCACTTTCTTTAGTTTTCTGACTGGGGTTACAGCCAGTCCAAAGCAAGGAAAACAATATAAAAATGTGGGACCAAGGAATTCTTGCTCACTTAAAGAATGAAATCCAATGGCAATCTTCATGTTTCAATAACTTTCATGCAACAACTTATTGTGCTTTTTGGCAGAAAACTGTGGCTAAAGATTCCATCTCTCCTCATGCCTAAGCTATATAAATCAATATCCCTTGTTTAACATGAAGCACTGTGGAAGAGGTCAGTGTGTGAAGGGCACCGCTAAGAGTCAGTTCCGATCTTTGGTTAATCAGTCCACCCACAGCAGAACAGATTTTAGCTAACTTAGAGAAGGGCTTAAAAGGGAAATTCTGTCGAAAGTATTTATAGGAATTAAGTAAAATGGGAGCCACTGACAAGTTTTTTTAAATGTATATACAACATTTAAAAAGGGAGAAGGGAAAGAAGTTGGAGAGGCAGGAGTTGGCAATGCCCAAAAGTGAAGAATATGAATGGCATTAAGAACAGATTTAAATGAAGAAAGGGAAAATATCTAAAATTTGAGTTTCATTCATATTCCGAAGTCAGGCAGGAACAGCGTCAATTGTTACTGTTAAAGTAAGTTTATAGAGAAGCTCCAAGTTGCCAAAAGGTAACCAATAAACGGAAAGTTTCATGTCTTCCGGCAGGAGTGAAAAGCTAGACTCTGCAGAATTATCCGCTGTATCTGATTCTTAGTTGAACAAGGACTGGATGTCTAGGCATTATATTGACAATTATAATCATTCTGTCATTTAAACTACGTCAAAAGAGTTCTTTGAAAATTTTTCTACGTGCAAAAAGGAAAACAAAATCACATTACTTATAGGATTCTAATTATCTGTCCTGACAGCTCTCTTCCATTTTTAAACACATTTAATTGTCATAAGAAATTTTAAAATTTATGTAGACACTTTGAAATACTCACCTGTCAGCGACTTTTGACATTTTTAACCGATGTCTATCTAACTGTATTTGCCAATATTTTATCTGAAAAGTGGATTAGAGAAGGAGTTACATAAGTAATGACATTTTCACAGTTTCCTACTCTAAATCATGATCGACTGGGCAACTCTGAACAAGAGTATATTCTATGTCAGTACAATTTCAAAGTTGGTTAAAAAAATAAAAGCAGAGGGCTCCTAAAGAGTTGACAAAATGAAATGTTGGAATGTGAACACAACTGATATCACTTTAGAACAGCAATGAGTTTGACTATTCTGCCTACTTTAATGAAATGTAATTTTATTTTAAAATTGTAGAGATTTTGCTGGGTGCAGTGGCTCACGCCTGTAATCCTAGCACTTTGGGAGGTCGAGGTGGGCGCATCACTTGAGCCCAGGAATTTGAGACCAGCCTGGCCAACATAGTGAGACCCTGTCTGTAAAAATATATACAAAAATTAGCCAGGTGTAGTGCTGCAGATAGTATAGTCCCAGCTACTCTGGGGGCTGAGGCAGGAGGATCACTTGGGACTTTGAAGCAGAGGTTGCAGTGAGCTGAGATCACACCACTGCACTACAGTCTGGGTGACAGAGCCAGACTCTGTTTCAAAAAAATAAAAAATAAAATTGTAGAGATTTTAAACATTCATTCATGGTGAATACCTAAATCCAGAATCATACTTCCCTCCAAATTTAGAAAATTATATATTACTATAATTTCAAAATAAATCCTATCTCCTAATACCAAGAAAGCATCAATATGTGTTTTGAGAATAATTTTTATCAGCAATTCATGACAAAAGCTCACATGGAATAATCATGCACAGAAAACTTTAATTAAAAACTCT